GTGTCACATCCGATAAGGCCTATTGGATATGAGGAGACGCAGTGGGTAGCACTGATGCCTTGCAGCAACAAGGTTCTGGGTTCGATTCCCGACCCTGGGTCTTTCTGCATGGAGTCTGCATGTTCTCCCTGAGCATGCGTGGGTTCTCTCCGGGTACTCCGGCTTCCTCCCACAGTCCAAAAACATGACTGTTAATTGGCTTCTCTAGATCCTCCTAGGTGTGAGTGTGTCTGTGTTGCCCTGCGATGGAATGGCGACCTGTCCAGGGCGTACCCCGCCTCTCGCCATTGACTGCTGGAGATAGACACCAGCACCCCTCACGACCCCAATCGGGACAAGCGTATCAGATGATGGATGTGATGAGCATTCTGTGGGGGTTTTTCCTGGTTTTAAAATCAATGTTATCATTGCTATTCTTAATGAGGGTGGCAAAGTTCCTGTTTGATAGGATTCTTCTTGTTGGGATCCTGAGGCTTGCCCACCAGAGGGCGCCGAGGATCCCTTCCTAGGGGTTTGTGTTACTGTTGGGATCTGGGGTGCTGTCTACCTTCCTCCACCAGAGGGCGTACTGGATCTCCTGAGGCTGGAGCTGACTTCACCAGCTGTTCCTCATCTGCTCATCAGGAGACCAGCATTTAAGTGGGCTGAGGACCACACTCCGGTGCCAGAGTGTTAGTCAGTCACGGTACAGCAAACCCTGAGCCAACCTGCCTGTCTAGTCTCCTGACTACGAAACCTGAACCTGATCCATTTTGTTTTCTCTGCTTCCCAGGCTGAACCTGAAACCAGAAACCCCCTGAAGAGTTTCTCTGTTGGAAATCGGTCTGTCTGATCTCAGTAGAACCCTGGAGAACCAAACCTGTCAAGGATCTGTCAGCCAGCCCCCAGAAGAATCTGGAAGGGAAACTGAAGCTGAAACCAGGTGATCTTCAAGCTCTACCAAACTCAGCCTCCACCAAGCCCTCAGCCTGCCGTCAGCCTCTGAACCCCCCTGGTTCCCCCCCTTTGCTGCTCAGCTCAAAACTCCAATGCTGTGAACCCAGTCGAGACCAGTCCCGAACCTGATACCCTGGATCTGTTTATTCTCTGGACTGTGTTCAACAATAAACCTTTGAACTTTTTCCCTGCCTCCGGTTGTGTTCTGCATGTGGGCTAGGAACCAAAACCCATTATGACACTTCTAACATATTAATGAGTGGAATTAATAGTTTTTCTTCAAATGTTTTGTAAAATTCAATTGGCAAATCATCAGGCCCTGGAACCTTACCAACTGCTAATATTTTGGATAGCCTGTGAGATTTCTCCAGTTGTCAAATCACAATGTGATTCATTTTTAGCAATTGAAACAGATCAAGAAATATATCCCGTTCTTCTTTTGCAGTTTGAGGGCATTCTGCTTTCATAAAATTCTTTGAAGCTATTATTAATTTCCGAAGGGTAGCCCTAATCATTTTTAGATGATTTTCCTGGAAATGTATGCTCAGTAATGATAGAATCTATGTTTTTTTTAACATAGGATTAAAAAGATACCCTTTGCCTTTTTTTNGAAGCTGGCCAGTGACGTCACTGAAAACCCCCTATTCTTGTGTATAATGAGTGACAGTAGTCAGGAAGATCGGATTAGGGCCCTTAGGACGGGCAGAGAAAATACCAGTAGATATCAGAATGAGCACAGAGAAAGAGGAGAAAGGAAAACCCAAAGAAGGTTCAGTGCGTAGCAAACAGAGAGTAAAGAGGCAGAGCTAGCACTCCGTCAGCAGTCTGCACTAACCATTAGCTATGGATTACAGGAAGGCTGCACACCACAAAGACTGAAGGGAAACAGAAAAGCTTACCAACTTTTATCAAATATCGATCAATTTCTTCACCGATTGCTGTAAGTTTTGGGATCATCCACATAAAGGATGTACATTTTCAACAAAAAGACATAAAAAACTTACAGAACTGAGATATGGGGGCATCAAGCTGTGGAGCAGTTCCGCCTCTGGAGTTCAGCTTCTGGACCTGGGTGGGGGGCACTGGCTTGTGTGACTGACCCGTGGCCCTATACATGGCCTGAACCCATAGGATGCGATCCTGCTCATCGTCACTGGCAAATATCACAGTTTCTCCCTCTTTTACAGCATTAAAGAACGTCCGGCCACCTTCCAGACCTGGAAAATGGGCAGAAGAACATCGCTGAGTTCTTTCAGCAGATTTCTTTTTTCAACAATATCTTTATTGAGTTTTATATATATATATATATATGTATATATATATATATGGCAGGTACAGCAATCTGAGCCTCAACCTAGGTTTTTTGTTGTTCCAAATTAATTTCCTAAAAGTACTATTAAGCTTGTCAAAAAAATGAACCTGGGAGTGGAAGTGGGAGCAATTGAAACAGGTATAAAATTATTTGTAATATACAAATTTTAATCAGATTAATACAGCAAATCAGTGACATGGGCAACTTCAACCATTGATCCAATGTCTCACTCACTTCTCCAATTAGTGGATCATAGTTTGCTGGAGGGATCATTTTGATATCAGTTGTAATTCACCAATATAGGTAAATCCTTCCTTTGCATTAGAAAAGTTTTTTTTTCAGGTAAATTAGATGATTTTGCATTGTTAATGTTATACCCTGAGAACCGTCCGAACAATTCAATCTGTTGTAATAGATTTGGGAAACTAATTGATAGTTTAGTCGGGGAAAAAACACATCGTCCAAATATAAGGACATTTTATGCTCTTTTCCCCTAAACAGATGCCTGATATGTTTGTTTGTGTCCTTATTGCCATAGCTAGCTATGGCCAATAATAAACAACGTAGGTGACAGAGGGCATCCATGACGAGTTAAGCGCTCCAAGCTAAGTGATTTAAATACTAAACTGTTTGTCGAGACACAGGTTGGTATACAAAGTTTGAATCAATTTAAGAAATTTCTGTCCAAATCCATATCTGGGTAAAACATTAAATGGGTAAGGCCATTCTATTCTATCAAAAGCTCGCCAAGCATCCAGTGATTGTACTGCTGTATCTTTTGTATCAAACATTTAATGAATTATGTTAAGTTCCCATCTGATGCTATGAAAGCCTTTCTGATGGTTAAGAACTGTGCGTGGGATATAGGGGTCAAGTCTCCTTGCTAAAGCTTTACAAAGAATTTTGTGTCACATCCGATAAGACCTATTGGATATGAGGAGACGCAGTGGGTAGCACTGATGCCTTGCAGCAACAAGGTTCTGGGTTCGATTCCCGACCCCATCTATGTTTTTTTTAACATAGGATTAAAAAGATACCCTTTGCCTTTTTTTTTAACCCTGCCTTTGGTCTGCCTGTATTCACTTTAGTCGTACAGGAACACTAAAGGGTTAGAATTCACACTTTAATCCCTGATAAAAAGGCTGTTACCATCTTTCTTATCATTGTTGCAGCGAAGGCGCTTTCTATGCATAGAAATGATCTAAAATTGAGCAGTTCAGTGTTTATTTACCTGGCTGAGGGTCGGTGTAGTCCACAGTATATCCATCCAGCTGTAGAAGCTCCACAGGCTCAGCCTTTTTCTCTCTGTAGCTGCACATTGCAAAGGTGTACTGGCTAACCTGTAGCAATAAAACATAAAAGGGACACTTTTCTTTATAGTCAGTCCAGAAAACAAAACATCTAGAAGCTATGCACGTCTTCATAAAGTCGCATTTAAATATAATGTAATGTATCAATAAACTGCCCATCTTGACATTTATCGATTTCTTTTGATTCTCCGTGTAAAAATGGCTGATTGAAATACGCATTTTAAATGCAAATTACCAGCATTGAACGTACACATGCGTTCAAACTTATTGCCCTTATTGCCCCTTGTTACGATGTAAAAAGGTTAAAGCAACAGCAGCAGAAACCTTTCTTCTGCATTTAGGTTCATTTACAATTTATCAACATAAGAAAAAGACTGTAGCATATTAACCCATGATTCTTCTGTCATATCAGCACATATTTCAGGTTTATTTTGGAGGGTTGCATTTCATGCATTCACAGAAACTGTCATTCATTATAATAGGAAAATCTTATCGCACACATCCACGCTTGTTTCCAGGTTAGAATCGACGCAGGGCTGTCTGAGTGACACAGATTTGAAAACATGTTTCTGGCAGTGTGAGAAATACTGAATGTGTTAGGGTGTTCTGCAGGGAGGTGCGGTGGAGTTAACACTTTGGCACTTGTGTTTGAGGTTATTACAGAGATTTTTTGACAGATATGGGGATGGACCAGTTAAATAGTAGTGTTAATGAAAGCTTTGGAGGTTTAGGAGTGTACACCTAATGGAAGCTGATTTTACTGACACAATCTCAGTGCATCCGTCTATCCAGTTTCTACCGTTTTTTCCTGGTTTTGGGTCGCGGAGGCAGCAGTCTAAGCAGAGATGCCCCGACTTCCCCATCAACACACACACCTCCTCCAACTTCTCTGGGGGGGGACCCCGAGGTGACACCAGGCCAGCTAACCTCTTACACCCTAAGGGGGTATAAATAAATTTCTGCCTGACAAAAACACACAAAAGTAAATCACTTATAGCCTCACAGCTATTAGATTTAAGAAGAAACTTTTGGTACGTCTGTAAAGGTAAGATGTCATA